TGACATTATGGTACATGACTTTTCTTCTCGGCTACACCCAATCTATCTCCAGCTTTCGTCTGCATGATCAGCTATCAAACACTCTGTATACAGTGCCTACCAAAAGTTCGGGGCCACCTAAATAATTATTGAACGGTTTGAAATATAGGATTGAAATTATAAGGATTCAATAGGATCACAAAGTCTATTATTTAACCACAAAAACACCCACCTCCACACCCCCGGGGGCCGGAGGGAGAGGGAAGCAAAAAAATCTCAAATGGCATGTTGGTTGAGTGAGGGCTCGTTCGAAAGGGCTTTCCGAGACGAAAACAACGCGAGGTCGCCGAGGCCTCCACGATTTTTTTTCGCAGAGTTATGATCATTTGAACATTGAGATTTTGCGAGGGCCCACAGCGACAACAGAAGAAAGGTCAGGCTTCACACGGGCACGCGCGTTTCTGTGTGTGCGTGCGTGTGTGTGTGTGCATGTTTGGCCAACTAAGGCAAGACCGCTAGCGTGTCCGGCCAACTAAGACAAGACCGAGATAGGAACACTGGCGTATGTGAAGGAATAAAAACACTAATTATTTAATCAATTGTTCAAATTGATGTCCTTCGACAACTTGGCAGTGTCTTAAACGAACGTAAAACGTTTCAGTTAATTAAAAAATCGGGTGTGATTGAATTTGAAACGTTCACTATTTTTTCCCGCAGCTCTTCTAAATTTTCGGACCTAGTCTGATAGACCTTTGTTTTCAAATACCCCCGGTAAAAGAAGTCTAATGGGGTTAGATCTGGTGATTTTGGTGGCCATTCCATTGTGCCTCTTCTACCAATCCATCGATCAGTGAAAACATCGTTTAGAATATTTCGAGCTTGCAGAGAAAAATGAGCTGGAGCCTCATCCTGCTGAAACCAAACATTGTGGAAAGCTTCTCCAGCAATATCTTGAATAGCCGGTATCACTTGGTTTCTTAGCAAATTGCAATAATTTTGAAAACAATGGTCTATGAGACTAGGTCCGAAAATTTAGAAGAGCTGCGGGAAGAAATAGCGAACGTTTCAAATTCAATCACACCCGATTTTTTAACTAACGTAATTGAAACGTTTTACGTTCGTTTAAGACACTGCCAAGTTGTCGAAGGACATCAATTTGAACATTTGATTAAATAATTAGTGTTTTTATTCCTTCACATACGCCAGTGTTCCTATCTCGGTCTTGCCTTAGCTGGCCTGACAGGCACACACACACACACACACACACACACACACACACACGCACACACACCACCACACACACACACACGCACGCACGCACGCACGCACGCACGCACGCACGCACGCACGCACGCACGCACGCACGCACGCACGCACGCACGCACGCACGCACGCACACACAACACGCGCGTGCCCGCGTGAAGCCTGACCTTTCTTCTGTTGTCGCTGTGGGCCCTCGCAAAATCTCGATGTTCAAATGATCATAACTCTGCAAAAAAAAATCGTAGAGGCCTCGGTGACCTCGCGTTGTTTTCGTCTCGGAAAGCCCTTTCGAACGAGCCCTCACTCAACCAACATGCCATTTGAGATTTTTTTGCTCCCCCCTCCCTCCGGCCCCCGGGGGTGTGGAGGTGGGTGTTTTTGTGGTTAAATAATAGACTTTGTGATCCCATTGAATCCTTATGAATTTCAATCCTATATTTCAAACCGTTCAAAAATTATTTAGGTGGCCCCGAACTTTTGGTAGGCACTGTATATACAGGGTGTCCGGAATGTGATCATTAATATTTTGTGTATTGGTGGAACTCGTTAAAACAATTAAAAAAGTCCTGTGCCATTTACAATTTTCTCAATATTTATTCCGTAATTAATTAAAATGTGTAAACGAATGAGCGCACGAGAAAGCGACAGGACTGGCTCTGTACAAGAAGATGGCTTACCTCTTAGCAACGATGAGTAAACAGCTGATTTTGGGGCGGAGTGACCAGCGTCATATAACAACGGCCGCGCACTGCAAAAGTATTGTCCTCCGTAACCGGGCGATCGTAGACAAAAGACAGTTGAACAGATCTTCAGATGTTCAACTGTCTTTTGTCTACGATCGTCCGGTGCCATGTATCCGACGGACGCGTCTACAATCGCGTGAAATAATTGTGTTCGAGTAGTGAGTGTTTTTTCGCGACGAAAATGTCATTTACTTCAGAGGAATATACGAATATGATTATTGCGGGTTGGCGAGGGAGAGTGCACATGTCGCGATTCGTATTTACGTGGAACGACATCCCGGCTGTGCACGATATCCGACGGCACAGACAATTTTACGTGTCGTGCAACGTTTACGTGAGAGTGGATGTCTCGTACATAAGCATGATGGTATAAGAGTGCGTCGTCGCATTCAAGGCGAGGAGAGAATTTTAAACGCGTTCGACGAGAACCCGGGGGACCAGTGTGCATCATGTCGCACGGCAACTAGGACTTTCGCGGTACGCAGTGCATCAGGTGTTACGAGTCAACGCATTGCACCCGTATCATTATCAACGTGTGCAACAGCTGCTGCCGGGAAATGCACAACGAAGAGTCAATTTCTGTGAAAGTATTGTGATCATTGATTTTTTATATTCGCGGCGGTTTTATTTAATTTTAACTGTCGGCAAAACAACTTTTGCATTAAATAATGAGAGTGGATTAGGCCTACTGGGGATACCGCTAAAAAAAAACGCACCATGCTATCTATCGCCAGGTGGTGTGAAAACGATAGCGGTTTCCTATTTTTCTGCCACATAACTTGGAGAGCACGTGAACCTGTCACGGAGGACAATACTTTTGCGGTGCGCGGCCGTTGTTATATGACGCTGGTCACTCCGCCCCGAAATCAGCTGTTTACTCATCGTTGCTAAGAGGTAAGCCATCTTTTTGTACAGAGCCAGTCCTGTCGCTTTCTCGTGCGTTCATTCGTTTACACATTTTAATTAATTATGGAATAAATATTGAAAAAGTTGTAAAATGGCACAGGACTATTTTAATTAATTGTTTTAACGAGCTCTACCAGTACACAAAATATTAATGATCACATTCCGGACTCCCTGTATATACAAGGTGTCCCATTTAACCTGACAAATCGTAATATCTGGAAAACTACATGTCGGATCAAAAAAAGTGAGTAATGAAATTTGTTCGTCTCGAAGGGGGACATCCAATGATATCAAACTCGACCTCCCACCCTATTCCCGGGGGGTGGGGGTGGGGGGCAACTTTGATCTTAAATGGGGATCCCCATTTTTTATTACAGATTCGGATTCTACGCCACAAAATACGTAAGTTTCGTTCGAAACTTTTTTTTTGATTCGTGATAGATGGCGCTGTAATCGCAAAAAATTAGATTTTCTGCAATTCTCCAGAAATGATCATTGGATTGAAAAATAAAAAAATACCTGTTCAATATTTTTAAAAATATTTTTAAAAAACATAATAACAATGATTCCCCCCCCATTCCCTCGAGGTAGGGTGGATGGTAACGTTCAAATCTCAAATGAGAATCCATATTTTTCATTGCAGAATTAGATTTTACGTGAAGTTTTTATGAAAACAATTTTTTTTCATTCGTGATAGATAGCGTTGAATTTTTCCGAGAAACTACTTTTAGCGTTACCCAGGAACAACGACGAGTAGCTTTCTGTTCCCTTCGGGGTGCTTGTTTTAGGTGAGTCCTCTCGCCTCTCACCATCGTGGTGATTTTGCATAATTAATTTGCAGCTAGTACTGATATTTGATTATTTTCTTCACAAGTAGCTCTACGCGTTCTTTTCTTCAGTTGTACACTTCCATCAGTACAAAACTGTGTAACAACTCTAACGAAAGAAGAACGTGATCTCTTTCAGGAAGAACGTACTCTTTCAGAAAAACGCTCAGCATACAAATTGGCAGCATCGTCAAAATTTCTCCTACATTCGCCATAAATGAAAATCATTTCAATTTTTCTTGCACAGTTACATAATCCATGATGCAAATTCAGAAGAGAATGATAGTGGCATGGAACACTCTTCTAAAATTGATTAAGCACCTCTCCTGATTAAAAAGGTAAGTGTCTATTAATGATCGTCTCTTAAGTTGTATGGGCGCGGACGATGGAGAGATGCCACTAACAAATTAATTATGCAAAATCACCCCGATGGTGAGAGACGAGGGGACTCACCTAAAACAAGCACCCCGAAGGGAATAGAAAGCTACTACGTCCTCGTCGTTGTTCCTGGGTAACGCTAAAAGTAGTTTCTCGGATAAATTCAACGCTATCTATCACGAATGAAAAAAAATTGTTTCCATAAAAACTTCACGTAAAATCTAATTCTACAATGAAAAATGTGGATTCTCATTTGAGATTTGAACGTTACCATCCACCCTACCCCGAGGGGATGGGGAGGGGAATAACTGTTATTATGTTTTTTAAAAATATTTTTAAAAATATTGAACAGGTATTTTTTATTTTTCAATTCAATGATCATTTCTGGAGAATTGCAGAAAATCTAATTTTTTGCGATTACAGCGCCATCTATCACGAATCAAAAAAAAAGTTTCGAACGAAACTTACGTATTTTGTGGCGTAGAATCCGAATCTGCAATAAAAAATGGGGGTTCCCATTTAAGATTTCAAAGTTGCCACCCCCCGGGAGTGAGGTGGGAGGTCGAGTTTGATATCATTGGATGTCCCCCTTCGAGACGAACAAATTTCATTACCCACATTTTTTGATCCGACATGTAGTTTTCCAGATATTACGATTTGTCAGGTGGGACACCCTGTATACATACACACACGCAAAATATTTATATATTCATAACAAAACAACAAATAAAAATTAATCGATAAGCGTAACGTTAGATATTTTTAATTTCTCCCATTAGCTTCTAATGTAAAGAAACACACGTATTTTTTTATAAGATTAGCCATGTGCGATCACGATTTTGTAGATTTGTTAATTCTCTTGATCATTAAACTATTTATCTGTATAATGAAAAGAATTACACACCAGTAAATGGATTAAGCATTTCTTGAGGTGTTTGTTGGCCTAGCAACATAGTACTCGGTATACTAGTTTCAGAACCGTCCCAGCAACTATAGTTTGAAGTACCATTAACTTGCATCCCTATAACGATACAGAATACACGTTACGTTCATAACCAATTTGCAATTTATCATCATCATATTAAGTGTAGAAAAATTAAGTGTCAGGAAAGAACTCGCTTTAATGTTATAAATATGTATAGCATTAATAATACTTTTTTTCCCGCAAAGTACTAAAAGTGTAGCTTCTATTTTATCAAAGCAGCGGGTACGTCCGTCTCTCATACATTTATATAAAGAATGATGTGACTATTATATATAAAGCGACTATTATATAAAACTTCTTAAATATCCTCACAGTTTGTATTTAGCTTCAACTGCTTTCTGTATTTCACTTTTAACAAAGTTTTCATATAAAACGCGGAAATATCCCAGATACATAATAACAGAGAACTCTTGCTCAATGTTCACAGAAACGTAATGTTTAATTGGCAACGTACTCATACAGCTTACAGAAACGTTCGGCTGCAGACTAACGTGAAGACCACGACACAAACAGAATGCCAAACCGATGTGCTGAGTAAGCGCTCTGACCATGAAGCGCTCATCTTACACACATGGGGATGTATTTACAGCAATTCTCTTACCGTCTCGCCATTATCTCTCTCTCTTTCTCTCTGCCTCCCTCCGGACATATATTTCTAATATGTTTTTGTAATATACTCGTATTAACAGAAATTGAACCGTTATCGTTATCGAACGTTGCAACTTACATAGCGATTATACATTTATACATGATACTTCGAAATTAACGAATATACTTTATGTTTAGTGATGCGAGACATTTCGTCAAGTATAGAGAATATTAAATAGAGAATATTGTAATTATTGTAATTATATTGTAATTATATTATATATTATATTGTAATTATATTATATATCATATTATAAAATATTATATCCAGACGTAACTCACTTATAAGCAATTAACTTGAAATGTGTGCAAAGTTGCTGACTGAAAAGAGTTGAAGTGTTACCTTGAATAGTAGCCATGAGACTTAGGTCCATACTGTCATTCAACGACTCGTCATTTGGTCCCATTATAGCTCTAATCTCGTCCTCGTCTCGGGAATGATTTAGAGCCGAATCCAAGCTACCGGCAGATGCGCTAAGGAGGGACGACGAATCCTCCGGGGATCGACTTCGTAGAGATACTCTATCAAGACTAGACGCCAGAAGGCCCTCCGGCTCGTCAAAGAGCTGTTGGGTCCTCATTCTTCTTTTCGGCGGCAACGGAGGAGGTGTACCAGAAGAGCTGTTTTCCTCCGACAAACATACATTTGTTCTACAAGGGATGAGCATTGCCCACGTTCAAGTTCTACGATGACAAGCGATTTATCCTTGTCGTTATCGTAGCGAAACGAGTATTACCTGTCAGGCAGCGGGGGTTTCGGGGGTGGACTAGAATCCCGTAGAATCGACTCTGAACTGTGCGAACTCCGAACCAAACTGCTGCTCGCCGCCGTCTGCTCTAAGATCTGCCGTTCTCTCGGTGTCAGGGGTATATCGGGCAGAGAGTTTCTTTGCGCCAGTTCCGACCCGTACCCGGAAGCTCTGTAATTTGTAACACGTCATCGCTGAAATTCGCTTGGGAGAAGACACGTCTCCTCGGGAGCATACGTATCCCCTCGAGTATTTTGCCATTTCAATTTATCTCAAGATACACTCTTAATTAAAAGATGTCTATTCGTCATTGTCGTAAATTACCTATTATTATTCGCAGGAACCGCGGGTTTCTGCTTGTTCGCGATCTTCTCATGCGCTAGGGCAACCAGATTTTTCACCGCCTCCTCGACCAGCCCGATAACGTGCGTCACGTTCTCTGTGTCTAATGCGGAAGATTGATCACCGTGCAGTAATACATCGTCGCAGAGTTTCAGCAATTGCGCCAATGCCTGGTACACCTGATTCGTGGCGGACCCCAATGTAGAGCTGCAAGAATGATAGGATATATATTAGGTGTTTATAGTAGGATATATATTAGGTAATTTTGAAGGATTTTTTGCAAAAGAAATACGTTTATTTTTGAGAGACGTTAAATTATATTCCATTTAAAATATTTTCCATCGCTAACTGTAACTTTTCTCCATTTTTCGGGCAACAAGTGAATTCTGTGAAAAAAGAAATGTTCGTCCTTCGAAACAATTCACTCATCGAGCCATATTTGTATTTTTTCATATGATTTGAAGTGCTGGTCAGTAAAGCTGTGCTGCATAAATTGAAATAAGTAGTAATCGGAAGGAGCACAGTGTGGTGAATATGCGGTATGTGGTAGAACCTCTCACCGTAAAAACTTACCTTAAAAAAGGTAAAAAAAGCGCCAAGGTACACGCGTGGCTGTGTCCGTGCAAAAAACTTGTAAAAATACTTTGTACAAAAATCTATTGTAGAAAAACGTATTAATAACTATAATAAAAAAATAACTTTTGTAAAAAAACTTTGTACAAAATCTGTTGTAGAAAAAGCCGTATTAATAACTGTAATAAAAACATCCTTACAAAAACTACTTGAACTACTTGAACTACTTGAAAACGTTGTACATTATTTTTTACTACAAAAATAGTGATATTAGGAGATGTGCGCCAAGTGAATATGACAACAAACTAGTATTATGTTATTACATTTCTTATTTGTTATGTATTTCTTATGTTCTTGCTTCTTTTTATATCGCTGTTTGTTGAATATGTATTAATGAAGTAGTTTGTTACAGGTACTATTGATTCATAGTAAAATAACTTTCTAACAAACACCAAGTAACAGTTATATAATTTTTTATTGTAATTTCACACTCAACAATGTAACTGTTATATAATATAACACACATGTTATATTGCATTTATATTGTTTAGTTGGAAATTATAACTAACTGCTATATCTAATAGTTATATAACTGTTACATACTATTTACTGGGTTATCATAGTTATTATTATTTTTAACAATAACAGCAATGCAAGTAACGCTCGTTAACTTACTAACTTTATATTAAATAAAAAAAACAAAAAATTTAATCCAAACATATAAGGAATTGAAAAAAAAATTATGAAGATTCACCAAAAATAAAAAAACCCTTGGCACGCCCGGGTCGTATTAACAATTTTAATGTCAGCTACAAAAGTATGTTTGTAACATACACACATTATAATAAAATTCTAATGCAACTTAATATGACCTGTTGCTCGCCCCATTTCGGTCTCAGTATGTTGCCTGATTTTGTTACTCTTAAGATATCCCAGTTTCAAATTTGTTGCTCGCGGCATATGTTTAAACAATAGCCGAGAACCTATAGGTGTGTGCTGGCTACAAGAGTAAACTACTTGAAAAAAATTTGTTGCTCTTAAGATATCCCAGTTTCAAATTTGTTGTTCGCGGTATATGTTTAAACAATAGCCGAGAACCTATAGGTGTGCTGGCTACAAGAGTAAACTACTCGAAAAAAATTTGTTATTCGCCCAATTTCGGTCTTAACCCGTTTCGGACGAAAACGCCACTCTCGGTACACCGCTCTTTGGCGGCTCATAACTAATACTATTTGTGTCTGAAAAATTCGAGAGGTACATATTTTTATAGTTTAAGATGTACTCTTTCTGATAGTGTCCATAAAATTTCTCCAAAAAATTGTTAATTATGGAAAAAACAGTTTAAAACAAAAAAAACATGATTTTTTCGCACTTTTTTTTTTTTTAAATCAAATTTTCAAAGGGTTTCCTGTCTGCAATGACCCTAGAACCCCACTAAACGGTGGAATAAACGTTTAAACTTTAATAATATGTTTGGAGATCGATTTTACTCCTTAATGTATTCAAAATGGCGCCTAAACTGTAAAATTTTCGTGAAAACATTCATGAATTTTTTATTGAAAAATGATGCATTTTTACGAAAAATTGTCAAGAATAAAAAGTTCTTAAAATCACTCAGAAAATGCACTCGAATTTTTTGAAAATATTTCGAGCAATTTTTTTGATTTTGTAAATAGTCAATTTTTGCAAAATTGAAAAAATTGCTCAAAAAATTCCGAAAAAATTTGGATGCATTCTTTGGCTAATTATAATAACTTTTTATTCTTCACCATTTTTCTCATTAGTGCATTATTTTCAAGAGAAAAAGTCGGACTCCGACGCCTCTCGCGTTCACGTACGCGACGCGCGCTTGTGTGCGTTACCCTCCATGCTACGGCGTGCTACCAAACGGGCCAAACGTGGGATCACTGGGTTCACCTACTATATACACGGGATCAGTTGCGCGATACAAACTTAAAAAATTCTTTCTACTATTTCAAAAAGCTATATTATTTTATAGTCTAAATTAAAATGTCGAAAAACTGAATAGTAAGTTGATCACGTAGAATAAAATGATTCTAATGATTTTCGCCTGCTACAGTTTTGGTATAAGTGATAGATTATAATGCTGCTGGCTAATAAAAGTCGTTTTATTGTCTATTCTATCAAATACTTAAAAGACAGTGCTGTAAGTAAGTTTTTTAATGTTTGGAAATGAAAAGAAAAAGTTTTCACTTTAATTATCGTATGTTTATTTTCTTTTTTCGTTTCTTATCATTTGATAAGATGCGATGGATTTACTGCGGAATTTCTTGTCCTTCCCATAAGAGCTCGTGTATATAAAAACGAAATTTTGACATTAATTATCTCAAAAACCATCACGCGAATCCTTCTAAAATTTTAACGCAATGTACACTTTGTTTGCGGCGGATTGACGATAGATGTGCGAATATATCAAACCTTTTCATGATCCGATATTACTTTGACATTTGGAAGTTTTTTTCTTGAAAATAATGCACTAATGAGAAAAATGGTGAAGAATAAAAAGTTATTATAATTAGCCAAAGAATGCACCCAAATTGTTTGAGCAATTTTTTCAATTTTGCAAAAATTAACTATTTACAAAATCAAAAAAACTGCTCGAAATATTTCCAAAAAATTCGAGTGCATTTTCTGAGTGATTTTAAGAACTTTTTATTCTTGACAATTTTTCGTAAAAATGCATCATTTTTCAATAAAAAATTCATGAATGTTTTCACGAAAATTTTACAGTTTAGGCGCCATTTTGAATACATTAAGGAGTAAAATCGATCTCCAAACCACATATTAAAGTTTAAACGTTTATTCCACCGTTTAGTGGGGTTCTAGGGTCATTGCAGACAGGAAACCCTTTGAAAATTCGATTAAAAAAAAAAAAAAAGTGCGAAAAAATCATGTTTTTTTTGTTTTAAACTGTTTTTTTCCATAATTAACAATTTTTTGGAGAAATTTTATGGACACTATCAGAAAGGGTACATCTTAAACTATAAAAATATGTACCTCTCGAATTTTTCAGACACAAATAATATTAGTTATGAGCCGCCAAAGAGCGGTGTACCGAGAGTGGCGTTTTCGTCCGAAACGGGTTAATATGTTGTCTGATTTTGTTGCTCTTAAGATATCCCGGATTCAAATTTGTTGCTCACGGTATATGTTTAAACAACAGGCCCCCGGCACTGTTTTTTTTTTCGAAATGGTTGGTACAACAAAACTGGGAATAGAGCAACAAATTAACAACAAAATCGTAGTTTAAAAATGTGTGTTCGTTTTCCGTTTTTTATTTTTTTTTTCGAGGGGCTGTGCTAACTTTAATGTTAAGCTAGCACAGCCACTATTTTTTTTCGAAATGGCTGGAGCAACAAAATCGGGAATAGAGCAACAAATTAGCAACAAAAGAGCACTAAATTTCTGTGCTAGTTCTATACGAAATTGCTGAAAGAGCTGTGCCAGCTTAATAGATGTTATAAAATCAGATGCATTAAAATATTGCGACGCAAATATTTCCTTATTATTATATCGAAATGTATCAAAAATAATTTTTTGTAGGAAGTTAATCAAATAATTTTTTGTAGAAAATTAACCCTTTGCGTGCGGACGACTTTCTGCTGATGCGCTCCGGAGAGACTTCGCGCGCTTAGCGTTGGCGATCGTTGTGGACGGAATACTTTTCGCTCGCGTGAGCTCTGTTGATTAACTGTTCAAGGCGCAATTAACAAGTTATTATTGTAATTCTTTTGCACCAGATTAAATAATGGAAGAACGTTATTTTCAAGCATCAATTATCTATTAGAAACAGTAAAATTTACAATATAACTTAACTTGAAAATAAGGAATAAAAACTAAACGCAATAAATATAACAAAAATTAATAGTTTATTTGTGTATGATAAATTTCACTGTTCTATTTCACTGTCGTCTCTTGTAATATATTCTTCAGTATTACGCGATATTTTGTAGGATATCACAAATAGATGGTAATATAATTGTATACTAACAAAACTATACTGTCAATACTCGATATCGTGTATTATGATTTGCGTAACGTGGTCTGCTCGTGTATTAATGCGTTAATATTGATATTCTGAACTTATATATACTAAACTTTATATATACTAAACTTATATATACTAAACTTATATTTACTAAAGATTAGACCCGCTCTCGCGTCTATCATTTGTTTTATCATTTGTTTTTTTTTTACTGCCGTTGCTAAGAAACACACATATATTTATCTCACATAAAGTTACATGTAATACTATTACATAGAAAACCGAAAAAATTGACCAACGCATATATGCGTCCATCGTCTCTGCTGATGATTTTCACCAAACGTATATATGCGCTTATATTTCACACCGATCGCTTTCGCCGGACACATATATGCATCCATAGCACTCTAAGAGTTAATAAAATAACTTTTTGTAGAAAATTAATAAAATAATCTTAATAAAAATCTGCGCAAAAAAACCATCTATTAGCATATAAGTTCGAAGCAATGTACTATCTAAATTCCTTTTTCAGGCCATTGATATTTTATTAAATAACTTTAGATAGAAAATGAAGGGAGATGTAGGGAGATATAATTTTTTGCCTATTTACTAGCCTAAGTTTGAAAAA